CATGAAAACAAACAAAGGTGAAATAGCTTACACAAAAATATTATGAGCATGAATTTGGTGTTACTTGTTATGATTTTCACAACAGATTTCAAAATCTCTAAGAATTTCTTTAGACGATTGTTGCACATAATTAGCTTCATCATGTCAAAAATGATCTTCAGAATATCAATAATTAACCATTCGATCTCAATCATCTCATCGATACCTAAAGATCGATATTGTATAGTTGACTTGTATAAAACAAAATCCTATAAAGTTAACATATAGTAAGTGTTTATCAACAAGTTCATATAAAATAATATATACATATAAAAAATAAAAAATAAAATATAAAATTATTCATCCTAAAGGACCAAAATGCATACATCAACCTTGAAATTAAAAAATGCCATCCTATTAAAAATTGCCATCCTATTAATTCTAAACACAAAAACATCTGCATTTAAGAGCTCAAGAAAGTTTAGGTCTTATTTTGAGGTGCAAGGAAAGAAGAATATATGTTTTGTTAAGAGGTGACTCTCTCTCTATAGAATGATATTGAAAATAGGGAAGTGAATAAGTAGAGAAATATTGCTACGGTTAACTTTTTATTGCCTTTTTCCATAGTTCACAATGGTGAACTTATATATAGGCAAAATATTGTCATACAGTTATTTGCACAATTGTACTATTATACAATTAAAATACTAAATTTGGTACCAATTATTGTACTAGAGAAGTTCATGTGAACTTCACTTTGCATTATTTTCAACACTCCCCCTTGAACGTTCACATGAAATGGATTATGGGTTGTCTCGTGAAACTTGCTAGGTAAAACCTTATGGGATAAAACCATAGCTAAAAATTACTATATGCTTTGATATACAACCTCGTTAAAAACCTTGTCAAGAAAAACCCAGTGGGATAAAAACCTGGTCGAAGGGAAAAAGAGTGCAGTGCATATAATACTCCCCTTAATTTCAGCATAGTTCACGAAGATGTCGCATTCCAATTTTGTGAACTAATTGCTCAAATTTCTTGGAAGGAAGTGATTTGGTGAATAGGTCGGCAAGATTGTCACAAGACTGAATTTGCTGGATATCTATTTCCTCATCCTTTTGCAGATCATGTGTGAAGAATAGTTTTAGGGATATATGTTTTGTTCTATCTCCCTTAATGTATCCTTCAGTTACTTGAGAGATGCATGATGTATTGTCTTCAAACATGGTGGTTGGATTTTCTGTTATTGCTTTCATTCTACACTCTTCTTGGATATTACTAATCATCGACCTCAGCCATACACATTCTCGTCCTGCTTCATAAAGGGCTATCAACTCTGCATGATTTGAGGATGTTGCAATCAATGTCTGCTTTGTTAATTTCCATGATATTTCAGTGCCGTCGTAAGTGAACAGATATCCATTTTGTGACTTGGCATTTTGAAGATCTGACAAATATCCAGTGTCGACATATCCAATGAGGGTAGCATCTTGTTTCGGTTGATAATATAAACCAAGGTCTTGTGTTCCTCATAGGTATCGGAGTAAGTGTCGGACTCCCTTCCAATGCCTATATGTTGGTGCATTGCTGTGCCTAGCTAACAAGTTCACAAAGAAAGCTATGTCGAGTCTAGTGTTTTTAGCCAAGTACATTAAGGCTCCAATTGCACTTAAGTATGGTACTTCTAGACCTAGAATTTTTTCATTTTCTTCTCGTGGTCTGAATGGATCGTTTTTCATACTCAAAGAACGAACAACCATTGGGAAGTTGATTGGGGTTGCTTTGTCCATGAAGAATCTTTTCAAAACTCTTTCCATATAGTTTGATTGATGGACAAAAATACCATGATTCAAGTGCTCGATTTGCAATCCAAGGCAAAATTTAGTTTTTCCAAGGTCTTTTATCTCAAATTCTTTTATCAAGTATTTTGCAGTTTTCTCAAGTTCATTTGGAGTTCTGATGATATTCAAATCATCAACATAAACTGCAATAATAGCGAATCCTGATTGTGATCGCTTTATGAAAACACAGGGACTAATTTGGTTGTTCTTGAACCCTTCTTTTACAAGGTATTCACTGAGATGATTATACCACATCCTTCCATATTGTTTCAATCCATAAAGTGACCTTTTTAGTTTTATGGAAAGTAATTGTCTAGGTTTGTGGTTTTCTGGTAGTTTTAGTCCTTCGGGGACTTTCATGTAAATGTCTGTATCGAGTGACCCATACAAATACGCAGTCACTGCATCCATTAATCACATTTGCAGTCCTTTTGTGACTGTCAAACTTACCAGAAATCTTAATGTAGTTGCATCAACTACTGGAGAATATGTTTCGTCATAATCAATCTGTGGAATTTGAGAAAATCCTTGGGCTACAAGTCTTGCCTTGTATCTAACTATCTCATTTTTCTCATTACGTTTTCTCACAAATACCCATTTGTATCCAACGGGTTTTACACCTGCTGGTGTAAGAGTTATTTTTCCAAAAACTTCTCGTTTTTCAAGTGACTTCAACTCAGCCAGCATTGCCTCCTTCCACTTTAACCAATCACTCTTGTGTCGGCATTCTTCCACTGTTCTTGGTTCAACATCACTTTCATCAGACACAATGTCGATTGCGATGGAATTCGCAAATATTTCATCCACGATAACATCTTTCCTATTCCAATGAGTCTTGGTAGAGACGTAATTCATTGAAATTTCACTGTTATCGACGTTTTGAACATCTTGTTCATTCCCCGTAGGATTGTCTTCTAGTTCGTCCCATTTTGGATTATCATCATTTTCTTTACTTTCATCCACATTTGGTCTTTCTTGACCTTCTGACGGGGGAACATCATTAGTCTCATTTTCTATTCCATCCAATCTTTTCAATTTCCTTGGTTTAGAATCTTTTGAACCAAGTGGTCTCCCACGCTTTCTTCGTGCTTGAGATTCATTCTCAATGGCCTTATTATCAGTTGGGATTTCAATACGTGCAGGGGAATTTTCTGTTGGTACATGTGATGACCTTCTTTGTGTCTACAAATGCATCAGGCAATTGATTTGCAACACTTTGTAAATGAACAATTTTCTTGACTTCTTGTTCACACATATTTGTTCGTGGGTCTAACATCAACAGTTGTGTTGCATTACAAATAAGTTCTATTTCTTTCTTGCGTGGGACCACTTTCTCTTCCCCTAAGGCTAGGAATACTGCTTCATTAAAGTGACAGTCGGCAAATCTTGCCGTAAATAAGTCACCAGTCAATTATTTATGATATGTAATTATAGAGGGGGATTCAAAACCAACATAAACTCTCAGCCTTCTTTGTGGACCCACTTTTGTTCGTTGGGGTGGAGCGATGGGAACATATACAGCACAACCAAAGATTTTTAGATGTGAGATAATTGGTTCTCAACCACAAACAAGTTGTAGAGGTGAGAATTTATGATAAGCTGTAGGTCTCAATCTAATTAGTGCCGCTGCATGTATTATAGCATGTCCCAAGCAGATGATGGCAATTTTGACCTCATTAATAATGGTCTTGCAATCAATTGCAATCTCTTAATTAGTGATTCAGCTAGACCGTTTTGTGTATGAACATGAGCTACTAGGTTTTCAACATCAATTCCAATTGACATACAATAATCATTAAACGTTTGGGATGTAAATTCCTCTGCATTGTCGAGTCTTATTTTCTTTATTGTATGATCCGGGAATTGTGCTCTTAATTTGATAATTTGGGCAAGTAATTTTGCAAAGGCAACATTTCTGCTTGAAAACAGACAAATATGTGACCATCGTGTAGAAACATTAATTAAAACCATGAAATATCGAAATGGTCCACATGCCGGATTAATTGGCCCATAAATATCTCGTTGAATTCTTTCCAAGAATTTTGGAGATTCAATAGCAATTTTGTTCATAGATGGTATTATTATTAATTTGCCAAGTGAACATGCAGAGCATGTCAATTCATCCGATCGAGGAATTTTGACATTTCTTATTGAATGTTCAACTGAATTTGCTATTATTCTTTGCATCATCCCAGTTGTTGGATGTCCCAAACGATCATGCCATAAAATAATCAAATGTTTGTCATCTAACTTCTGGTTAGATATCATATTGATTTCCACGAGTCGTATGTTTATACGATATAACCTCGAACAATATGCTGGCAATTTCTCATAAATGTGTTTCTTGCCATATTTTGCTGCCGTGAGGCATAAATACTCCTTTTGACTTGTTGTCATCATTTCTAAATTATAGCCATTTTGGTGTACATCTTTAAAGCTAATGAGATTTCTTCGAGATTTACTCGAGTATAAAGCATTATTGATTATCAATTTTGTTCCATTTGGAAGCATTATACAAGCCTTTCCAGATACTTCAATTAATTTTGCTGACCCGGAAATAGTGTTTACATTTGCCTAAAACAACTTTAGTTGTGAAAAATATTTTCTATCCTTCAAGATAGTGTGTGTTGTTCCACTGTCCAAAAGGCACTGATATTCGGAACCAACTTCAGGCATATCCATATCTTCATAAGATTAATATGAGATTAGTTTAGAATAATATCATACAAACTTTTATTGATGATAGAAATTAAAAGTACATGACTATTCATTTAAAGTACAGTACATAACAAAAAATACATTGAAACATAGTATATATTACATTAGTAGATGGGTTATTTAAGCATTGTTATTTTCTCCAAAGATGAAATCATTTCCAATTTCAGCATTGTCCATGAAAAAATCGCACACATCAAGGGTAGGACATGGAGCATTTTTTTCATTAACATAATTTGCTTCTGCATTTTTCTCTTTGCCTTTTACAGAAGCCTGGTAAAGGTCTACCAAATGTTTGGCCGTACGACAAGTACGTTCCCAATGCCCTGTCATGCCACATCTGTAACATGTGTCTTTTCCTTTTGAAGGAGTTTGTTTGTGGCTTCCAAATGACTATCCCTTCTGTGTTTCAAAATTTTTGAAATTATTGTTTCTTTGAATATTATTTCTACCACGTCCTTGGCCTCATCCGCGATAATTTCCACGGCCTCTTCCACGGCCATTGTAATTTCCACGTCCACCTTTTCGTGTAGCATTTGCCTCGGGTGGATAATAACTTGTTGCATTTGCCTCATGATGAGTAGCCAAAGACCCAGTTGGTCTAAGATTATGATTTTTCAACAAAAGATCACTATTTTGTTCCGCAACAAGCAATACACTCATTAATTCATTAAACTTTTTAAAACCTCTTTCACGATATTGTTTTTGCAACAGTACGTTGCTTGCATGAAAGGTAGTGAGTGTTTTTTCAATCATTTGTTCATCGGTGACTGAATGACCACAGTATTTCAATATAGATATTATCTCATGTATGGTTGAATTGTAAACAATTACTGATTTGAAATCCTGGAACCATAAATTTGTCCAGTCAAATAATGCCTTAGGAAGGAGCACCCTTTTGTGGTGTCCAAATCTTTCATTAAGGCAATCCCATAATTCTTTGGGATCTTCAACCATCATGTACTTAATTTTAAGGCCTTCATGTAAATAATGCCTTAGTAACACTAAGGCTTGTGCCTTTTCTTGTTCAGTAAAAGGTTTTTCAACCGTCATTGCAGAAGTGGTAGTATCAGTTGTTTGACCAGAGGGACTTTTATTATCTTTAACAGTGTGCTCCAACCCTTGAGCTTTTAAATTCATCATGGCATCCACTTTCCATTCCAAAAATTTCTTTCCAGATAAATCTAGGATGTTAAATTGTCTTTTCATAAGATCTCCCATTTTAACTACAACAAATCACGTGATTATTAGTTTATAATAACAAATCATATGTACAACACATATGTTTAATTCTTCCATATTTATAGTTTGTTAATGAAACACGTGATAATTAAATTTATTTAACAATAATAAACCATAAATAATATAATGTTTTTCTCCCCCCTGGTTTATTATTGTGAGTAATTATATAATTAGGAAAAAATAAATCATATTAGTCGCATAAACAGCAAAACGACAACAACAACAGTAGTAATAATAATTATAATAACGGTAATATTATACAATGATGATTAATAACAACAAAACAATATAATAAAACAAAAACATGCTTTTAATCTACTAAAACGACAAAATAAACAAACTTCACTTGTACATCTTGACAAAAATTAAAATTGCTACTAACAGAACTACAAGCGCCATAATTAGAAGAAAATACTGTTTTATCTTCCTTAAATCTTCCTCAAAGGTGAAGGTGTTGGTGTTTTGGTTGCCGTCGGGGAACATGTTGGAGAAGAAGGGGTGAAAAATTTTGGGTGATTTTTGGATAAAGAAAAAAATGGGAAAGGATAAGGGATTTGTGGTGAAAATCGGGGGAAAATCTGCCTTTTATAGAGGTAGGTTTATCTGTTACTATTCTGTACAACTGTAAGAAAATATATATATATATATATATATATATATATATAATGTACTGGCAAAATTATGATTCAAATATAAGTATTTATAATTGTAAAAGGTTATCACACTGGGAATGCAAAGCCATAGTAGTCCGAGGGCCCTAATATCTATAGAAGATCATGGGTTCGAAAACTGAAAGAAACACAAAAAAAGTACGTAAAAGCAAGAAAAATAATAAGTATAAAAAGGCTGCATCTTTTTGTCAATTTAGTTAATAATATGTATGCAAAGTTATTACTAAGCAATTATAATAACTAAAATTAAATTTTACGTAAAAAAGAGAGTATGTAATATCAACATGCATGAATCAAACTAAAAAAAACCAAGATACCAACATGAATAAAACAAGGGAGGATAGTAATGAAATTCATAAGTAAAAGAATATTTTTTTCACCGATGTTTTTTTTTTGTGATATATGATACAGTAAATTTTTGAGTTTCTGGTATAGAGAATCCTAAAATATGGGCAACTATAGAGCATACTCCTCAAAACATTTAGAAGTAGATACTATTTATTTGTTATAATTTTGAGAAGTAGGTATAAATATACCTGACTAGGAACTGGTGTTGATAACGTGTTAAGAGGTGACTCTCTCTCTATAGAATGATGTTGAAAATAGGGAAGTGAATAAGTAGAGAAATATTATTACGGTTAACTTTTTATTGCCTTTTTCCATAGTTCTCAATGGTGAACTTATTTATAGGCAAAATATTATCATACAATTATTTGCACAATTGTACTATTATACAATTAATATACTAAATTTGGTACCAATTATTGTACTAGAGAAGTTCATGTGAACTTCACTTTGCATTATTTTCAACATGTTTTTTTTTTTTTTTTTGGTTGGAAACCAAGAAGAATATATGTTGGAAACTAAAAAAAATGCAGAATATTTATATATGTGAGGTTATTGTGTGAATTTGTTTATTTTTTTATTTTATGTTTTGTTCACTTTCTCAAAGAACTAACTAAACTAAAGATTTATGCTGATGATTGAAGTTCTATGGTTCTATTTCGGTCCCGTGTCATGTTTCCTTGAATGAAAGTCTTTTAGAAATAAAGTTTGGGCATAGCATGTAACAGGGACTCTTGATACCCTATGTTTAAAATTCCAATTTTAAAATAAGAGGTAGATAAGACCTAAACAATTAAAGTCATTATCTTCTTGTAATTTGATCATACCACATCAATAGATCAATTCAACCAAAAGGCTAAACTTATTAATTGTCACAAAATTATTTGTTTATTCTATAGTAATTAAGTGATGAATGTTGGTCTTAAAACAAACTAGTAGTAGAAAATATACCTTTTGAAATCCTTAATAAGCTATCTAACCTATTTTAAAAGGACCACCATGTGAAATCCAGCAACCCGTAATCTAGTCTTTGGATTGTGCATAGTGACATTAATTTGTCAAATATAATTGACAGTGGGAATGGGGACCGTACCAATTAGCTGTTAATCCATATTTGAAAGATAAAAAGTTTAAATGGTTAACATCAACTTGTTAATGAGTTAAATGACTCATTGGTCCAACAAATAGAGATTTAGTGCTTGTTTGGTTTACATCGGAAATAACTTTTCTTGGGAATTTATATTTTATGGGAAATTTTTTCTTGTATGATTTTCCTAGGAATTAGGCTAAGGTGTTGTTTAGTTGGAAGGTAATTTCTTTGGAAATGGAATTTCCTAGTAAGTATTAAAATGAAGGTGTGTTTGGTTGGAGGGAAATAAGCTAAACATGGGAAATAGCAATTCCAAGGGAAATACAAATTCCCACAACCCATAGGAAATAACTCACCAACTCCCCCCTTGGTGAGTTGAATTTCCTAGGAAATGCAATTTCTTATAATGTCAACCAAACAATTTAGCTTAATCCCTAGGAAAATCATAAGGGAAAAAATGGGAAATATAAATTTCCATGGGAAGTTAATTCCCATGTGAACCAAACGAGCACTAAATTATTTGGTTGACACTATAGAATTTCCTGGGAGATGACACCAAGAGAGGAGTTGGTGAGTAATTTCCCTGGGTTGTGGGAATTTGTATTTCCCTTGGAATTGTTATTCTCCGTATTTAGCTTATTTCCCTCCAACCAAACACCTTTATTTTAATACTTTTTAAGAAATTCCATTTTTAAGGAAATTATCTTCCAACCAAACAACACTTAGACTGATTTCTTAACCTGTCGATAATACACTAAAATGGACGAAATAATGCTTTAAACTAGGATAAATGTAGGTTGTAAATGCGAGGAAAAGGTACTTTATTTGTCTTTTTTGTATGTGGTGGATTATGCGTGATTTCGTCATAATAAATAAGTTAATAAATAAATGTATAAAAAGTTTTAAAATGAAATATTAAGAATAATCATTAATTATATCAATTGGTATGTAGTTTTGTCATAATTTCTAAAATTTAGTGATTACACGATCAGATCAACTTGATTTTGCACTATATACACAATCTAATTTGTCTCTCGTTGTTGATTTATACATAAACAGAATGTATTTTTTATTTCTTATATTGGAAAAACTAAAGTACATACTCTTAAGAGATGGTTTTTTACGAAATAGAGAACATATCATATTGTAATTTGACTTTCCTCTAAATTAAACTTATTGAAAATTGACAAAATACCTCTACAAAATAAGTTAAACCAAACAAACCCTTTGATTCATAAAGATAAACTTGACAAACGTTAAAACTAAAGTGTTGCAATCAAATGTTAAGAAACAAAGAAATATACGAAGTAGCTTTCTTTTATATTTGTTATTTGTAGTATATAGGGCTAGCTCGCCAGAAAACATTTAAGCTAATTTCATTAAAAAAAAAAAAAAAAAAATATATATATATATATATAGGATCATATGAGACCGCCTTCCTTATGTGAGAATCCTATTATATGTGAGGACATATTACAACCGTTGGAACAATTGCATCTAATGGCTACAATTTATCCCAATCAAATGTAATTTCAAATACAATTTTCCAGCGTTTTCTCTCTCCTCCTTCATTCGACACGCCATTTTTCTCTCTCCTCCTTCAATGTCTCTGCTCCCTTCTTATTGCTCTCTTCCTTTGCTTTGATTCTTCATCAATTCTGCTTCTAACTTCATTGATTCTTTGTCAATGTAATTCTCGTTGATTTTAGTTTGATTCTCGTTGATTAAAGTTTGATTTTCGTTGATTAAAGTTTGATTTTGTTGATTTTAGTTTGATTACTTAAGGTTTTTGTCAATTTTTTGCGATTTTTGGCGATTTTCAGTTCAAATTTCGTTCGATTTTTTTCCTGGCGATTTCTATTCGATTTCTATTTGAGTACTTATTAGTTGATTTTAGTTTTAATTTTGCTTCATTTGTTGATTTAGGGTTCTTTATAGTGTAATTCGAACTTTTATTTATAATTTCTGAGGTTATGAATGGTTATAGAGATTGATTTTGTCAATTTTGGTACTTGCATTTCACTAATTTGTGCTTAAATTTTGATGCACACTAAGTGTTTGTCAATATTCCCCAATGAATCCTATTATTTTATCAATTTCAAATGTAGTACATATTTGGTTGATGATCTTCTTATTTAATATTCCCCAAGATTGTATTGAGTCTCGGCTTCTAGCTTCTTGGTGTTGTGACATTTTCAGCATCAATTTCTATGGTTGTATTGATTGTGGGTTGTCTTATATGTGTCTTTAAGTTTTGTTTCCTATTGATGTATGAGGCTTGTTGTCCTCATGGTGTCTTTGAACACTGGCTGGTTTGGGTGTTTTAGGATTTTTACTCTATTTTTCTTGATATATGATATTTGACCTTTGATCTCTGGTTCAATATATGATCAAATGGATATTAGTTAATAAATAGACAAAGGTATCTTGTTAGTGAACGCCTTTGCAGCAGCTTAAGCTAACTTGCAGTATAATTTCAATTCCCATTTTCAAATCTAAATTAATATAATGTTCTTTAATTGTCGAGATAAAAAACTTGTGCCTAATACCTCTCTGTCTAGTCACTCATATAGTCATGTATGTCAACATCTCTTTATTTTTTGACACTCAATGGGCGCTTCAACATCTTCAATTAAAGAAGCTGAGAGTGATGTCCTCAAAGCATTGTCTCAAATCATAGATCCAGACTTTGGAACTGACATTGTTTCTTGTAGCTTTGTGAAGGATCTACAAATTGATGAAACTTCAGGAGAGGTCATCTAAATAATATTGTGCTCTTGTATCTTTGTAATTTATCATTATTCTCTGAGCTCTGAACCTCTAATTTCAGGTGTCATTTCGCTTGGAGCTTACAACCCCAGCCTACCCAGTCA